TTGAAAGCTGTAGTCAATGCGCGCAAGAACGGACGCCAGTGACTGTCTCTGGATGTCATACAACAGACAGTCGCAAAGGATGTGGTGTAGCGTCTCTTCGCAATGACAGGCATCGCAGAGAGGGTTGTCGGCCATTCCGATAACAAATGAATAAGATTTTGCAAATGCCAATCCTAGCCATAAGCGATCAATAAAGTCGCTTCTCTTCAGTCGAGCCCAGTGGGCATTCGGAGAGCCATCAAATAGGACAGGTGGTGTTGGCTATTCGTCTCGTTGCTTGGTGGGCACAATAGTGAAAAAGTGATTTCACGCGCAAGCCGTCGAAGATTACTGGCAGCATCGGTACGCGAAAGTAGTATGGCTTCTTCTCTGTTGTGTGTGGCTTGCGCATTCACACACAACAAGATTACCAAGTATTACTACATGGCGAGGTGGGCATTCCTTTGGCCACATTCAAAACTCAATAGAGCACAGGCTGCCTCGTTGCACTTACTTTAAACCCGTTCGCACCCGTCGTTAGCATACCTAATTGCAATAAATCCTTCCACTTCCCCGTTACCACCTGTGCCGCTTGCGGGCAGACCGCTACATTAGCACACATATTCTGGGATTGCGGGTCGCTTGGACCGACTTATAGCAGGCCGGAGTGGGATGCGCTTCTGCACAGCCCAGAACTTCAGGACAAAATCCTCACCTGATATAAAGTTTACCATATCTTGACTTAGCGAAATGTTCCTGAGTACGTCGTTAGCGTGGCATGTAGTCATGTTGTTAAAAGACACGCATCTCATAATTGTTTTGTTTGCACTACTCATATCGCTTCAGCATTCATTCACGTCCCGTAATATTTGTGTACGTGAAGCAACCGAAATGGCTGCGAGCGCATCATGATTGCTTCTTGTGTTCATGTGGTTACACGGCATGCCTCTCACAATTATCATGTTTGGACGCACCATTTACCTTCATGGTTCGTTCGCGTCACGTAATACCAAATTTAGTATATATGAAGTTAGCAAAATGGCCTCGAGTGCATCATCAGCGTGACATTTAGTCGTTTTGTTACGTGACTTGCGTGTCATGAATTTCATGTTATGTTCTGTCACTTCTGTTCGCCATGCAGTCATGTCATACTATCGTTTTGCAACATATTATGTGAACAAACCACTGAAAGAGCAGCAAGATTATAAAATCTAAATCATGACGATCATGAAATGCATTTCATGATTTTCATGATATGACTAGTCAATCATGCTTGCCTTACAGCGGTGTTGTGCCATACCAATTTTCGTATTGATACTACCCAAACGGCCAGGAGATCTAAAAGCTTTAGGCAGCTAGATAGATAGATAGATAGATAGATAGATAGATAGATAGATAGATAGATAGATAGATAGATAGATAGATAGATAGATAGATAGAGTCAAAGTCGCTGAAGTTTGCTAAGAAACGCTTCGCATTTAAAAGTATAATGGAGGAGCTTACGCGCATACCACTTCTTGCGCGCCGCAATTTGTGTACTTAATGACTGCAGCACCACCACTACGGTCGATGCGCGGTGAGATGCGTTCACGTCACACAACAATCGTAGCACCCTCTACTAATACCGCGTTGTATAAGCGATTGAACATGCGATTCTCATAACAACTTCGTCGTTCACAGCCGGCCACCCATCACGTAAGTCACACATGGTACTGCGCGTTTTCCTTTGAGACCAGGGATTGCGCACATAACAAGTTCAAAAAGATTTCACACGCATATTTGCTCGTGATGTAAAGCATGCACCCATTACAGGAATTAAGGCCTCATGCAAGCACTTCGGTGTTTATGCTGAAGCAGTTAACATTCAATTGAAATGAAGCAAGCGAGAAAGCGGTGGCTCTATTCTCTTTCAGCAGGTAATATGTCTTAAATGTGGGTCAATTCAGAATTTATGCATGTTTCATAGATCCTGGATATCAATGTATATCTTAAATGATTTTGAAGTTTCTTTTAGGTTGAAATCATAATCCGAGCAAATAAAAATGATAACTTTGACGTTGCTCTCGGAAGAGGGCTTGTCGATTGACGCGTCGCGCTTGGTAGCGTCTTTAGCAAATTATCCATGGCAGAAATAAGCTGATAGGTGAAGTAAAACTAGTGCTGTTTGTAAACTTATTATCATGCACAAGGCGGAACATCACGTGCCTTGGCTGATTTTGTGTGCTAGTACACAACGTTACTGCAGGAGATATGAACAAAATTTGAAAATTCATTTATGTGTCCAGTTTAACAGTACGAAAAAAAAAGGCATTGGGCATTTGCGGTGACAAAGCCACAAAGCCATAGGTACTGGCCTTAATCCCAATAGCAGGCGTAAGAATGCTCTTCCCCTCTTCATATAGCATACTGTTATAGCATGATAACTTCATAACTTTAAACTCATTGATCACCCTGATAGCAGACTGGTTAAGAAGAATATGTCACACCTATATTTTTTGCATATGCGTTCAATTTAAAGTGAAATTATGAGTTGTGTGAAATTTCTAGTAGGCGCATTATAGCATTATAAATGACCTCGTACAAAAAGAAGTTCAAATATTCACGAACACTATGGGTAGTGTCATTTGTGATGATGACCAACGAAACTTAGGTTGCGGAGACATTTGTCTGTAAAGTCTTTTTTTTTTGCATATGCGTTCATTTCAAAGTGAAATTATCAATTGTGTGAAATTTGTAGTAAGCGCATACCATTTTACATGACTTCGTACAAATAAAGTGAACACTGTGAGAATTCGTGAACACTGTAAGAATTCTCATTTGTCATCATGACCAATGAAACTTAGGGTGCTGAGACATGTGGCTGTAAAATAGTGGTGAATGGCTCGATACTGGGCCATGGCGGTCGTCATTAAGGAACTGAGGGAGACGATTCGACGGTACACCTGTTTGAAACGATTGCAATCGCACACTAATGACCACCAACTGGTATGAATAACGCCGGAATATTTCCTACGGTGTGCCTCATATTTATATGCTGGTTAGGCCCACAAGATTTTTATGCTAATATTACTGTATAATTATTGCTCATAATGTATCGCTGACACTGAATATAAATATATTGGTTTAGTTGTCGCGTCGGTCCTAAGGGAGATGAGCAGGTAACTTGCACACATAAAGACCATGAAGAAACATAGCTACCTGAGGAGAAGTGTGGCTAAATCTACGATTAATTTAAAACTTTTCGCGTACAGCACATTCATAAGGCCATTGTTAGAATAAGCTACTTTTCTCTGGGGTCCTTAAACCTAATCAAACATATATGAAACTGAAAGCATACATAAGATATAATTAAGACCGTCGTCACAGATCCAATACTGTTCTATTAATGGACATGAACCTCTGAAGACTTGAAATACTAAACTATCGAGAGAGGCCTAAAACACTTTACCTAATTATTGGTGAGGTGGTAATTACTTAATTATTGATGAGGTGATGAGGTGGTAAGGGATTCGTATAATAAACCATATTACCGGTGCCCTACAGCTTCATCTAATTACTTTAAGCCAATCGATTATTCTTGCCAAACGAACTCCTCCAAACAATTTTTTTTATCTTGCAATCATTGATTGCAACGCATATCCTGAATATGTGCTGCACAACCTGACCATGTCATTGTGTGAGCACACTGTGGCTAATTTACTACGCAAGGTGTTTCCCCTACCATCTGTCGCTTTCCAGAGAACAAATTGTCGCAATTCAACGTAAGCAGACAACCGAGACGTTGAATCCGAGAACTGACGGTGTGTTTTTATGTAGCCACCAAGAGCAAAGACATACACAAAAGCACGTCGTTTTTGATCAGTGTCCCTTTTTACGAGACTATTGGCGTGCACATCGTTTTCGTTCTCGGTCCATTTTGAGCGCGGCATTTGCCTCCCCTAAAAAGAGCATCGCCAGGATGTTATAGCTGAGCCAGTCATTCGCGCATAAGGTCGCTTTGTAAAAGAGATGGTGCTTTGCAGAGTCACTCGCTGACGTATATTTAAATGCGCACTACGTGCACAAGATCAGGTCGGTGCTGTTGACGCCTTTTAGAGCTTGGGCAATCCGGGATAACCTTGTAGCTAGTGTCACTTAGTCATCGCAGGACTTGTTAAGGTCCGAAGTATCTTTTGAGCAACTTTTGGATAGTCCCCATCTTCGTAGAGGTGTCAACACCCATAACCTGTTCCCAGTTTCGTACGTTACAAGTGTGTGACGTAGGTTATAGCGTCCTGCGTCGTACTCTTACTGTTGGTTTATTCGCAGACGTGCAAGCTGCCTGGCTTCCTCTGTGCGTTGAGTGAACGTGTCGGCACTCGTCTTCTTGTCATCGCATTTGTATGGCAGCATCATGTCCAACATCGTCCTTAATTTTCGTCCATGAACAAGGCTGAATGGGGTCATTCGCGTGGTTCCTTGTTTAGCAGTACTTCATGCAAACGTTATGTAAGAGAGAATCTTGTCCCAATTTTTGTGCTCGATGCCCACATACATTGAAAGCATGTCTTCCAGAGTTTTGTGGAGCCACTCGGTCAACCCGTTGGTTTGTGGATGGTAGGCTCTCGGCTTACATTGAATACTACCACTGAGCACCAACACATAATCTAAAAGCGTTGCGTGAATCTGGTCTGGTTCCGCGATCTGTTATAACGATCACCGACGCACCGTCTCTCAGCACAATGTTTTCTATAAAAAATCTGGCCACCTCATCTGCTGTGCCTCTCTGAAGTGTACACGGGAGCCAAAAACGCTGTATATATATATATATATATATATATATATATATATATATATATATATATATATATATATATACATATATACTGTGCACATAGAGCAAAGGCGCAGTTTTGTTATGTGGGCAATTAAACCGTTGTTAAGTAGAACTTTCAGCGTGTTCGCTCGGATCCGGATTTCTCTTCAACGAAAATGGAAAAAGTTCGGCAGATGAATACTAATGAAGTTCTTTTTTTTTTCAGCCGCTGAAACTGTCTATCCAAGAATGCTAGAAAGCAGAGCTGAAGATGGCTCAAAGATTGTGAAAATATCAGGTGACTTAACACTGACTCTGCGGAAAAGTTCTATTTTTTCAGAAGAGTTCTTCATTCATAGCACTCGGGATGGTGTACCAATTGCTTACCACGTAAGTCCTATTTTACATTGTTTTCTTTTGGCTTAGTCGTCGCAAGAGTACGTTTTCTCCTTTACATGAAAGCAACAGTCTTGAACACTGTCTGCAGCTATTGAGAATGCCAGACGTTATCACAAAGAACAATTCATTAGGTAAATTTATACGGTTTGAGCACTTCTGTAAACTTTGTGTTTCTGTTCAATATTTCAAAATAATTTCAGTAGTTTGGTTCATATAATGGGCCACCATTTGCTTTACAACATATTGAAGGAATGTGTATGACAGTTGTTCATATGAACCTGTTAGGGCACTATGTGGATGTATTATTTGGTTCTTCAGCCTTTCGGTCTTTCTTATTTCAAAGATTGAAGTTGTGTTCATCTTCCTATTCATTACTTACTTATATCAAATACTGCTGTTCTCATATGAGTGCGTGAAAATAGGGAGATGCAAGTAGGTAATACATAGAGAAGGTGTTGAGAAAAATAAATACGCAACAGCGCTGGGGAAAAGATGTTACTATTTATATAAATAAAAAGTGGTCACAGAAATGCGTGCACTGAAATTGAATACACTTGTTACAACTCTAAAGCAAAAAGGAGAGAGGTATAACAGCATTTATACAATAAAACTGCCATTAAAACAGCATATAAAACAGCATAGGAAGATGTTAAAGTCAAGCTCTATGTGTTCTTTTTGTACCAAGAAGAGTCAATCGAAAAGTTTGAGGATGGAAGTATGCATAGTGTTACGTGATGAGGAAAATATTAGATGCAAAGCAGCTTTACCAACAAGGCCTGTCCTCTGTCGTGCCGTATTCGTCCACGACGATGACGACCACCCTCATGACGACGAAGGAAAACCGCGTTTCAGACGACACATTTTCTGACATTGGCAAGAACTACTACTACTACTACTACTACTACTACTACTACTACTACTACTACTACTACATGTACTACTACTACTACTATTACTACTACTACTACTACTACTACTACTACTACTACTGCTGCTAAAACTACTACATACATTGCGGACGCATGACCTACAGCTTAGCCAGATTCACCCCGAAAATAAGTTGTGGTAACAATATCAAAATGTTGGCTGCATTTAAGGTATAAAGTAAGCATGACACTTCAATGTTTATGTTAAATTACATCAGGTAACACGGCGTCGTCGACAGCCTAGGCGAAGTGTGAGGCATCTTTCGATTCTCTTTTTCACGGTAGAACTTTCGCTAGGTTTGTTCACACCTGCCGCACCTGCCGTGTTTAACACCAAACTGATATTGTGGTTAGGTAAGCACTCCGAGCGAAGTAGGTTGTATGGGGGTGGCGATTTGGGCTTGTTGGTATGGTTGCATGATGATGGATGGTAGCGCAGACAACGAACACGGACAAGAGAAGGCACATAGACACAACACAGCGCTAACTTTCAACAACAGTTTATTACACGCAGATCTCCGTGGTGTATGCGATCCACCACGCCAACGTCGCACGTGCGTAGCTCTAAAAACCATCAAATATAACCAACGCGCGTGTTCCAATACTTTACAATTTTATATTTTTCAATCTTTTTTTACTTTTTCTTTCTTCCTTTTATCCCATGTTACCACAAACCCTATCGCGAATACATGTAATCAAGTTCCTTATCTGTCAACACCACTGATGGGCTGCTCACACACGTGTCACCTAGCTCTGCAATTCTGCCGGCCTCCAATACCAACCGCGTCATCTCGTGCCTACTTCTATTGATTATAACCGTTTCCTTGAATTTCGGTGTGCACTTACATCTCTGGCAATGAAGGGAAAGAAAACCATCAGGAACAACACTATTTACTTTGTTATTGTGCTCGCGCAAGCGATCGTTTATGCATCTACTGGTCTGACCGATATAACACTTTCCACAAGTAAGTGGAATGAGGTATACAACACACATGATGCACTCCACAAATAGGTTTCTATGTTTCTTTTGGCATACATTTGATTTTCCCTTGTCTGGTCTTGTGCTTCTGCAAAGACTCACCAACTTATTGGGTGCCGAGAAAACTACGTTAGTGCCACATTTTTCCGCAATCTTTTTTATCCTGTGAGAAACCTTATGCATGTATGGAATTACGGCAAAACTTTCCTTTCTTGAGCTCACCCTATCCATCCCTTCACATCTTTTCTCCAGCACTTTTCTGTGCAATCCTTCAGCAACGGACACGACGAGGCTCTTGGGGTACCCGGCATTGCTTAGCCTCGAGACCTGTTGTCTGAAGCTCTCATTCATGAGGCACCGGCAGGACTTCTTTAGTGCCTCACTCAAGCACATCTTCGCAATGCCTCGTTTTACCAGTTTAGTATGCGCTGAGTGAAACTGTAGTAAAGGCTTACTTGCTCTGGGCTCGTAACACCAGCATGTCTTTTCATCTGAGAATTGAAAGTTAATGTCAAGAAATCTGAGCCTTCCGTCACATGGCATTTCAAAAGTCACTTCAAGTGGGTTAAGCCCCTCACGAAAAACGCTACACACGCTATTACATTGAGTAGCAAAATCTGCAGTTCTGTCATTGATAAACACTAAAAAGTCATCGACGTACCTAAATACGTGCACAACATTGTATTCATTTAGGCGTCCTGATAGCCTCCTGTCCATTTCAGCCAAAAACAAATTACTTAAAACTGGTGCTAAGCACGAGCCAATGCATACTCCTTGTTTTTGCAGATACAGGGTACCATTGTTTTCAATAAACGTTGACGACAAGTAAAACCTAAGTAATTCTAAGAAATTGTCGACGGACGTACCTGCTTGTGAGCTAAATCTAACGGCACCGTACTCATCGATGCATTCGCCAACACTTGTTAATACTGCTGATTGTGGCAGAGAATAGTACAGATCTTTTATGTCAGCCGAAAACGCTTTTAACCCTATGTTTTTTCGTTCCCTGACGAAACTTATCACCTGTTCCGAATTTTTTGTCAGGAAGGGGTCATTTATGTCAAGCAAGTTTAATGTTCTTTGCAGATACACAGCTACAGCTTTTTGCCACGTGTCCTTCTCCGACACTATCACTCTGAACGGTACTCCTTCCTTATGCGTTTTAGCACTAAAGAACACATCCAGACTGTCATTTTTACTTTTTCTGATACCGCTAAGCACACCTTCTAGATTCATCCTCTTACAAAGTTCTATTGCTTTTCCCCTCACTTTTTCAATCGAAATACTTTTCTTTTCGCTGAACACTGCCGTAATAGCACTTTTAGCCTTTTCTTTAAATTCATCATGCGAGAAAACCGCAAACCCTCCTTCTTTATCGACTGGAAGTACACTCAGAGCATGCTGTGTCAAGTAAGTTTCCACGCGTTTGAGAGGCAAACTGCGGCATGGAGGCCTACACAATTTTAAAGCGTCCACACCTTCGTTGATGATCCTGGTGGCTTGATCCTCGGGAACCCGCTTCGACACTTGACGTACAATTGATACGAGTTCCGGCTTGTTCTTTTGAGGTTGCACGGCAAACTTTGGCCCAAGTCCCAATACTTCTAGTACAAAGTCCGGTAGGCAGATGCCTTCTGCCACATGAACGTTGGAGGTTGCACTCACGCGCACTTTGTCCACCAAATCACGTAACAGTCGTAATTGAAGCTTCCAGTGGAATTCTATCATTTGGTCTGCCAGACGTAGAAGCTTTCGAAAGTGAATCTCCGCTGCATATGACTCGTAAGTTCGATGCATCTGCGCCCGTAGGTAGGCTCTGAAAAGGCGTACCTGTCGAAGCCATTCTGAGCGCTGAATTTTCATGATCCTCGTTCTGTGCCCATCTGAAGGGGTACACCCTCCGAAGAGCGCTCGAACATCCTCTGGTAGAATCTTGTTCCTTATGGAACCCTGTATCTGCAAAAACAAGGAGTATGCATTGGCTCGTGCTTAGCACCAGTTTTAAGTAATTTGTTTTTGGCTGAAATGGACAGGAGGCTATCAGGACGCCTAAATGAATACAATGTTGTGCACGTATTTAGGTACGTCGATGACTTTTTAGTGTTTATCAATGACAGAACTGCAGATTTTGCTACTCAATGTAATAGCGTGTGTAGCGTTTTTCGTGAGGGGCTTAACCCACTTGAAGTGACTTTTGAAATGCCATGTGACGGAAGGCTCAGATTTCTTGACATTAACTTTCAATTCTCAGATGAAAAGACATGCTGGTGTTACGAGCCCAGAGCAAGTAAGCCTTTACTACAGTTTCACTCAGCGCATACTAAACTGGTAAAACGAGGCATTGCGAAGATGTGCTTGAGTGAGGCACTAAAGAAGTCCTGCCGGTGCCTCATGAATGAGAGCTTCAGACAACAGGTCTCGAGGCTAAGCAATGCCGGGTACCCCAAGAGCCTCGTCGTGTCCGTTGCTGAAGGATTGCACAGAAAAGTGCTGGAGAAAAGATGTGAAGGGATGGATAGGGTGAGCTCAAGAAAGGAAAGTTTTGCCGTAATTCCATACATGCATAAGGTTTCTCACAGGATAAAAAAGATTGCGGAAAAATGTGGCACTAACGTAGTTTTCTCGGCACCCAATAAGTTGGTGAGTCTTTGCAGAAGCACAAGACCAGACAAGGGAAAATCAAATGTATGCCAAAAGAAACATAGAAACCTATTTGTGGAGTGCATCATGTGTGTTGTATACCTCATTCCACTTACTTGTGGAAAGTGTTATATCGGTCAGACCAGTAGATGCATAAACGATCGCTTGCGCGAGCACAATAACAAAGTAAATAGTGTTGTTCCTGATGGTTTTCTTTCCCTTCATTGCCAGAGATGTAAGTGCACACCGAAATTCAAGGAAACGGTTATAATCAATAGAAGTAGGCACGAGATGACGCGGTTGGTATTGGAGGCCGGCAGAATTGCAGAGCTAGGTGACACGTGTGTGAGCAGCCCATCAGTGGTGTTGACAGATAAGGAACTTGATTACATGTATTCGCGATAGGGTTTGTGGTAACATGGGATAAAAGGAAGAAAGAAAAAGTA